ATCGAGAAAATGGCGTTTTTAAAGTGGTGTTGAGGCAGCCTGAAACCTCTCAAAGATTGCCTCTCAATGTAGCACGGAGCACATTTAAGGAGTCGTAACGGGAGGACAACAATCAAGTGCGAGTCTATCTGCCTATAATTGAGCTCCAAAGTATACCGTGGGCCCAGCTTGAGGTCGTTGATCTGACCGGTTCTTTTCGTAAATACTCTACATCTGATTATATTCGTGTTTTCGCTGGAGCTGTCTTACGTTGCGGCCATCAGAATATCGGCTCACTCCTCTACTTCTCGGCTACCCTACATTAGGTTTTTCTTTTGCAAAATATCACGTGGTTCAGTGGTAGAGGTGCGCTACGTCGCACACAATGTCAATAGTTCATCTCGTGCTCATTTCTCAGGCTACCGCAAGTCATCTTGAAGGCCAAAATTGCTTTCAATAACTTCAAACGGAGCTGAAAATTGAAGAAGAATGCATGACGCATTTTTGAGTTTTTGTTCAAGAGCTTCATCATATCTTTAATCCTGCAATACAACGTGGCGGCATATTTGCCGTCGCAACGAGAGATCAAGATCACCAGCGAGTAATCGGCCTTGAAACTAGCTCTAGCATTATCGGCTCACGCCTCGGCTTCTCGATTACTGTGCCTTTGGTTCCTCTTTTGAGAAAGCGCATGTGGCGCACTGGTAAAGGTGCTCTGCGTCGCACGAGATGCCAATGGTTTAGTCTCGCTCTCATATCTCAGGATACCGAAAGTCATTGTAAAGCTCAGAAATGTAAAGGATACACAGTGTATGTCTCATCGGTATTCAGTCTGCAAGCGACTTTCAATCTTGTCATTGATCGAAATCGCCATTGCTTTTCATCTTTATGCAAAGCAGTCGTTTAAAGATCTTGACTAGTTCGAGAGAGAAGAAGGGGAATATCTTTCTTGATGTCTGCCGTTGTCCTTTCAGTGGTCTTCGTTATTACCTTATGAATAGGTTTCTGTTTGCCATGGGCTTACGTTGTTAAAAATCGAACTCTGCTTCTGATTTGAACTGTTCTTCTCAGCATGCGTGACCCCACTAGCGATCTGAATTCTACGGAAAACCATATTTCCGTATTCAGAAACATCTTTTACTAACGACATTTTGCGTTGTAATTATCTGATAAATTGGCTATTGTAAAAGTTTAAGCTAATGGTAATTCATTTGCCAAGCTTTTAGTTTTTCTCCCTGTGGATGCGTTAGGTCACATACTGTAGTGGTGCTGCTGCATAAATAATCTTCTCTTCTTGTGGCTTCTTGCTTCCTCCGTGGCTAATTTTGCGGATGGCAGATCAACAGAAGGTATAGGCTAATATATTAATGTAGTGTTATTGCTGAAATGTGAGCTGCCTCCTCCCTGTGTATGATCCTTGTTATTGAGAAGAATTACGAAAAATTTATTATTTGTGTTAACGTGTTGAAGCGATCTGCATCAATGTAATCGGCGCATACTTATTTCGTGCTAGATTTCTGTGGATTAGATTTTATAAGTGATTTCTCGAGGGTGTCTGTTAACATCATTTCGCACGGATAAATGCTGCCTTGACTCCCTGATTCTTGCACGAACATTCACACCCAAAATATTCTTTGTTTAACGTGGGTTTGTCGTGAATTCGTTATAATATCTAAGCTGTTCCATCGAGCTTTAACCACCGATGCTGCCTTCCTTTTTTCCTCATACACGTTCGCTTATTCTCATCTCCTCTAACGAACGTCACGGCATGTAGAGTAGGCTTAAAGTATCTTTCTCTCATCGTCTGTTGTTACAAGCATGTATCAGTTCTCATTTCACCTGTGTGACAGATATTGAACATTAGCATCAGCATGACCAATGCGTTCACTGCATGACGAAAGGTTAAGTAGTGACGCTTCACGATTAATATTTGAACGTCCTACATGAGCAGCTCGTAGAAATCTCTTATCCTATTGCTCTACGCGAAACGTTGCATCAAAGATTCGCCAGCTTGCCTTGTTGTAGGCGATAGGTGCGGACAGAATCTTGGGTCACACCACATTTCTTCGAGATATCCACTGCACTAGTAAAGAGCAAACCTCTTTGTACTTCACTGTCTATGTCGCTTGGGTGCTTCCCTGGTTGATAGGACAGATTTTCAAGATTATACTTAATGTTAGACAAGAAATTTTCATAGAGCGTCTTAGCAATTATTCGAAAGCTTAAATTCTAACCTAACGCTGTTCTTGACCGGTTGTTTGGGAAGAGCCTTTCACAAGGCGCGAAAATTCAAAAAATTTGTATTTTACACGCACGTCTTTCTCGCAGTTGGGAGCTCTTTCTTCAAACTATCAGTAATCGCTCGATGGCGTAAAATTTGCCGATTCCAATGCAGTGTTCCTATTCCAAAAAAAAAACACTTTCTCCGTAGTGCAGGAAAGTGTTCTTTGGCCGACTCACGGGTAGTGATTTGAGGTGTAGGGGTGGATCGACATGGACATTAATGCATGAAGCCTAAGTGAGGTGTATCTGATTAGACCCTGATTAAACGTCTGGTTCTCATAGTTGCATATTTTTGTGGACGTTTATGTGCGTTTCGTGCTTTCAGCAAGTAATAGTTTAGTTGCGTGGCTATTGTGCAACAATTCTTTCCTATTTTTTCAGCGTTATAAGAGGGCCTTTTGATAGAACCGGACACGTACAGAGCGAGCCTTAGATTTAAGAATTCGAATGACTACTAAAACTCTTTATAAGAACTTCTTGTCCAGCGAATAGGCATGAAAATCTGTGCTAGCGAACGGATAAGAATCGTCACTAGAATCAGAAATCACGCACTGGTATAAGCGGGGCGGAGAAAAAATTGCTCACGATGGCACTAGCCGAGGATGAAATGCATCATAGAAAGGTGGCTTACCAGGAGAACACGGTAGGATGATGACAGGAGGCAAGTGGGTGAAGATGGTCTTATTCGAGTCATCTATGATGTGGGAATTGGCCGAAGCACAGGAAGCCACTGCTGACGTTTGACTATTATAACTACGAGGAGCGTGTAAAATCGGTTTGAAATGTCTAGTGTCAAGAAAGCACGATGTAGTTCTCATAATACAGATTCAGCGGATGAAATACCAGTTCACTCTAAGCGACAGATCAAAGTTTTTCTATTAATTAGTGGAGGCTCCAGCTTTTTGAATAAGCATAAAAAATGTGTTTGCTTTCTAGAGAAAACTCTCTAGAGTTCTGCATTTACGCAAGAATGGTAGGACGTTAAAAACGAGAAATTTAACAAGTAGCTATTTCGTTGCCTTCATCGCTTGGCTCACATGAGCTCACTGTATTTGTATAAAGCGTTCGCCCTCAAACACACCAGCGGTGACGGATGTGCAAAATCAGCTCCGCTCATAAAATCTTATTGAAAACATGTGAATTTTATCCACATCTTATGTCAATATTTTGAGAGAGGTCTACGTACATTTGAGATTGGGGTGTAATTCATTCCAACAGGCATAAGTGCTCTACCGTGGTCACTGCAGCATCGCGGAATTTTGTCACCTGACGTACGTTAATTTAGTATTCGGCGTGAATTTTTTCATATGCAGGGGTGTACCACTGAGGGTTCGGCTGAACCGAAGGGCATTGTGTTACTGAGGAGACTGGAAGGGCGAAGCAGGCGCCTGTCAAGTACTGTATCAGCGCCGCACGAGACCTCATAATAAGCTCAAACATGTGGTCTGGTAAAGGCTCTTGTACTGCCCGAGACACGTGTTTCGTCCTTACAGACTCATCAGCCGGGCAGAACCCGTCGTCTGTCGATCTTTTCATAGTCAGTTCTCTCGGGAGCGTCACACTCCTTATATATAGTTATCGACGACCTACGCTTTACACTCTATGTCAGGTGAAACATGTCTCGGGCTGTACAAGAGCCCTTACCAGAACACATGACATATTGGCTCAAATAATAATGAAAGGATCTATTGAAATTTGAGCGTGGTCTTAATAAAGCACTCGAAGGAAAGGTGTAATATGATAAAAATACCAGCCAGCTAGCAATCGAGTGCGAAAACACTCTGTGTTAGGTGAATGTTCACCTGACATAGAGTGTAAAGCGTAGGTCGTCGATAACTATATATAAGGTGTGTGACGCTCCCGAGAGAACTGACTATGAAAAGATCGACAGACGACGGGTTCTGCCCGGCTGATGAGTCTCTAAGGACGAAACACGTGTCTCAGGCTGTACAAGAGCCTTTACCAGACCACATGACATGTTGGCTCAAATAATAATGAAAGGATCTATTGAAATTTGAGCGTGGTCTTAATAAAGCACTCGAAGGAAAGGTATAATATAAGCTCAAACATATTGTCATGTTATTAGACAATACGTGCATTGAACCGCATTCACTGAACATTTTGAGGTTATGCTCTGTACTAGGCTATATTGCCGTCCGAAAACTGACTGACGACAATTTTGTGGTTTCCATCCCTTTCATACGTAAAGTTTTACGCCACATTTTACCACACTAAGTCATCAGTTATGTGTCCACGTTTGACTCCGTCTCTACAGTGTATGCATGATTTTCTGCTTCTCCACAATCCATTCTCTTTTCGAATTTTCCTTTTCCTTCATTTTTGTTGTTCAGGTAATTTGAATTACCTGCTTGCGAGCTGTTTCTTCTATGTCTTTTATAGTGCTGCCTTTTTTTTGGGAATAATGGTCAATTATTTGGTACTCTTCAGTGCAATATTATTTTATGTTGAGGATCAATGAATGAATATTTGACCTAATTCGTTGAATAAGATTTTTCACAGAAGTTTTAGTAGCCATTCGAAAGCTTGAATCTTTGATTCGTGCCATACGTAACCCGGTTTTCAAAATACCCTATTATAACTATGTAAAATTGAAGCAAAATTATGTTTCACACGACCTCGCGTTTCTTTTCATACTTATGTAGCTAGGCTATAGACGCCCATACTTACCTATGTACCTGTCTATTACCCAGCTTCATAAAGTGATGTACAAAACTTTTTGCGTCAAACGGGACTTGAACCCACATCTCACTCTGTCCAAGAATGCGTGCTCTAACCCATTATACTTCTGACGCCCATTTTGCCATTACTCTTTCTACACTACCCGAATCTCAGTTTTGCCCATCTTCATCATATGATGTCCACTGTGTGAATTGGAATTTGATGCCCTATATCTAGAGCTGCAGTGTGAGTTTCTTATGCAACTATTTCTGAGATATACTCTAGAATTTACAAAGGCCGATACTGCGTGGAACAAACATAGAATTTGAATTTTTTGTGCGTGCTAAGGAGACTGTTATTCATGTTAGTAGTACAAATCCACTCCTTAAGCTCAGTCATATCAAGCCGATTTTAAGGATGATATACATTTACAATTAATGCCAAATAGAACTGCATGGATCAGTTTGTATCTGATGCATGCTTCTCTTCTACCAACCCTATTCACGGGGCTTCTATTATGCTGCCGCAAAGCGTCGGGCATGATTAGCTAAATTATTATATAATGTTTTCAACGCAGACTTATCAATTAGCGTGGATATAAACGATATCTAAGAGCAATGTATCAGTGCTTCTTTGCTAAGCAAACACGAGACAATTATTGTAAGATTTCTTTGGAAGATTACAATATGATACTGGCCGACGTTTTGTCAGAATGACCTTCATCAAAATCCATTATTCTCCTCTTCAGGTGATATTCCAAATGCTCAACACGACATGTTTTCTCAGATCGCTCTCCCTGAGTTAAGTATACATCCTGTCTCGACTACACCTAAGAGGGGGTCGAAATAGTTCTAGGAAAGTCCAGTAATCGGTGGTCGTCTTTTGGAAGATTTTGCCAGGTAGACCTTGTGATTCGTGCAGCCGTTTTCTTATCGAGAAGTTTGCCACGACTTGATGTTTTGCATAGCGGTGTAGAATAGAGATCACTTGTCTACCTCGCATAATCTTCAGCCGTAGTAACACGATTTTTTCAGTATGTTAGAAGTTTTCTTATAGTTTTGCACTAAAAAAAACTCCCAAAATTTAATTTTGATCAACCTCAACACTGATTAAATAATTCAGTGTTTTCTTGATGACCGGGCACTATTTTCCTGACAGTGAGAATGCATTCGAGAAATTATGCTTCTAATTTACTGTAGTGATTTCTACGAATTGCTTGTGGAATCTGACCTCGTCTTATTACACGCCTTATCTCATCCCTTGCGATTCAAAAATTTGCTTTCCCCCTATTTGACCTTTTGAAGTCTCTCAGAATTTTCTTTCTAGAGAACTTGAGTATAAAATTTTTTTTGTTCCAGTGACCTATCAACTCTCTTTACGCTATGGAAAGACCCACTGGGATAAGTCGTCGAAAGATTTATTCAACTTATGAAAAGCTTTGAAAGGCTTACCGCTGTATCGTGGTTGGGGAGTATTACAGGTGTCGGACTACAAAGTGTAGCAGGTGATTCATCCTCTCATCACGGCCTTTAAAGCTGGGAAGAAGCTCTATGTTTTCACGTAAACCAGCTCAACCAGAAGTAAGGCGTAAAAAAACACTTCCACCTCCCCTCCTTGATACCAATCATTCGTTAGGTGGCAAATCTCTCCGTGATTCATTAGAGCTCACCACCCTCTGGTGTGCTGACGAACAGAGGAAAGCACCGACAGGGTTGACATTTAATTCGAGACAACAACCGTAGTTGGTCCAACATAAGTTCTCCTTCAGCACATTACACATTGAGTGCTCCGCATATGAAGTCTGGCGGTGAAACGACTAATGAGAGGCGATCAAATCTTCAGTTTATCTTGACGCCATTGGAAACAGACAAAACGAACGTACTCGCGACTTGCCCTGAAAACGCAGCTGACTACGTTAGATTCTATACGGCCACCTTGAAGGAAACGAAAAGGAGGAATGCCGGTAAGGGAAAATCAAACGACAAGGTTTGCTTCATTTGCGGAGAGGAGTTTGCGTTCCGAAATGTCGGAGGCACGACCAATTTCATACAGCTGTGCAAAATCCTATGATTTTGCCATGATGTTTGTCGTCTCGAACATGGGCTTCAAAACAAAGCCGGTATCGTCAATCGCTACCCTCCGACTTTCGCAGCCAATGAGACTGCCGACGAGACTCAAATTGAACTAAAATAAGATCACAAAATATTATTGAACGCGCAGTCTAATGATCGATCGTATAAGTATCCCGCTTCTCGCGACTGAAATAAAGCATCTGAAGTTCCAACTACGTTACGTATGGAAGTTAAAGATGAGGTTCTAGATGTCTGGTTATCGAAGTAACCCTTTGGGGGCGATAAGGGCTTTAATGATCCTCAGCTGGACGCGCCTTTCGGACAGCTACGAAAAGTGGTGCGCGCTCCAATACAAAATCGGATTAGCTAAGTTCTCAGAGAAACATTATCATCGAAAAATAATGAAATATCGCTGATGAAACTCTTGTATGAATGATTCTAACAAGATTAAAGCTAACGCTTCCAAAATCTTTACTTTTTCCAAAGAAAAAACCATATACTTGCGAAAAGGATTATAATCTCAGCTGTTGCTGAGCATTTTCACCTATCTCCCTGATGTTTTTGTAGCCAGTCTATGCCTTAGATATATAGATATGAAAAAGCGTAGTCATGTGAAACATAATTTTGCTTCAACGTCGTTATAATAGGGTATTTTGAAAGACCGACCACATACGGCTCGATCAGAGATCTAGGCTTTCGAATGATTACTAAAAATTCTGTGAAAAAATTTTGTCCAGCGAATTAGGCGAATACTCATTCACTGATTCTCAACATAATATAAAATATAGTGAAGAGCACCAAATGATTGACCATTATTCCACAAAAAAGCAGCACGATAAAGGACGTAGAAGAAACAGCTCACAAGCGAATAACTGCAAATTACCTGAGAGACAAATGTGAATGAAAAGGAAAATTCGAAAGGAGAGTGAATTGTAGATAAGCTGATGATCATGTATGCAATATAGAGACTGAGTCAAACGTGAACACGTAACGGATGACTTAGTGTGATAAAATGCGGCGTAAAACTTCACATATAGAAAGGATAACAACTCAGAAATGATGTTGGTCAGTTTTTGGACGCCAGTATAGCCTAGTACAGAGTAAAACTTAAAGCGTTCGGTGAATGCCGTCCAATGCACATATTGTCTGATAACATGTTAACATGTTTGGGCCCAATGTGAGGTCGCATGCGGCGCTTATACAGTACTTGACAGGCGCCTGCATGGCCCTTTCAGTCTCCTCAGTCCAACACAATGCCCTTTGGTTCAGCCAACCCTTCGGTATTACACCCCTGCATATGAAGGAATTCACGCCGTATAATAGATTAATGCATGTCCGTTGACAAAATCCCCCGGTGCTGCAGTGGCCACGGTAGAGTACTTATGCCTGTTGGGATGAATTACACCCCACTCTCGACTCTCTACGTAGACCTCTCTCAAAATAATGGCATAAGATATGAATAAAAGCACATGAATTGAATAAGATTTCACCAGCGGAGCTGATTTTTCATGTCCGTCACCGATGGTGTGTTCGAGGGCGACCGCTTCACTCAATCGCAGCGAGCTAATGTGAGCCAAGCAGTGAAGGCAACGAAATAGCTACTTGTCAAATTTCTCTTTTTTAACGTCGTGCCATGCGATAGCTTTGAGTTCTAAATCATCCTCTACTCATATGCGCTAATTCGTTCAGAGTAAGTTTTATAATGTTCCGATTTTAACACACTGCGGATAGTATCATCAGTTTGTCGTAGTCAAATAAGACTATTTTCACCCAGTTGTTACCTTTTATCATCCCGTCGAGTCGACCTGGTAGCCACCTGTCTGCAATGCATTCAAACCTCGACTAATGTCATTGTGAACGATTTCTTTTCTGCACCCGCTTGTAGTAGTGCGTGATTTTGGGGCCAATGACGATTCGTTTTCGTTTGTTAGCACATATTTTCAAGCGATATACCCTACGCTGAAGAAGAAGTCCCCATAAAGAGTGTTAGCATTCATTCAAAAGCTTATATCTCAACCTAGCGCTATACGTGGCCAATTCTATTACAAGACTTTTGGTTGAAAATCAAGAAAATTTGTGCAATACATCGGGCCCGGAACTTAACTGTTATTTCGCTGAAAGCCATGACAGCCACATAAAACGTTTACAAGAAATTTAACGTATCAGAGTCAGACGATCAATCAGCAGTTATCTCCAAAATGGAGAAACAACTTCTAATCAAGTACACCCCAGTTAGGGGCCATGGATTGATGTACACGCCGACCCGCCCCTGCACCTCACCCCACAGCCCGTGAATTAGCCAAAGATTACTTGTCTGCGCATTTGATTAATCGCATTTTGTTCTATCAGCCGAGATCCATCGACTGAGAAGTGGTGATGGACCAGTGTCATAGTACACTGCGCCGTCCTTGCTACAATGCAGGGCTTAATGTGGGGGCGTGGGTCCTTTACGAGGAAGGCGAGACCTTCGCAACACCGATGTATGACCATGGCGTACCAAACTCGCTTAGGCTTCAAACATTACTTTTTTTGAAATTATTTTGAATGTTCATTGCGATTCTTTAGAAACGCCGATTGTTTTTTAATATTCAATTGCTACTATGAATTTTGTGCACTACATTCAGTGAGAGAGCGCCCGTGGCACAGTAGTCAGAGGTGCTCTCAGCCGCGCGCGAGGTCAAGGTTCGATCTCGCGCTCATGGCTCACCAAGCCACCCATCCCTCCGAAGTCGGAGAATTGGTATTAGACACGATCTCAAAACTTGTCTGGGAAGATGAGCAGCACTGACTCGGTACAGCGGGAGGCCAGGGAAGATATTGTAAAGGCCATATATGCATTCAATCATCTCAAACGAAGTTAAAAATTGGGTAAGGATGCATGACGCACGACTCAGGGATTGATCAGCGCCAAAAGCTTCATCCTTTTATCTTTCATATCCAGTGAGAGTACACGATAATCGGATGATTTATGATCTTTGAAGTAGGAAATGATAATGTGATTGCTAACTTGACTGGTTATTCTTCTCTTGCAATAGCAAAGATGATTTGTTATTGCCATAAGA